CGAGAGTAGTAATTACTTATGAAGTATTAATAACTTAAGCAAATATTTTTAACATATAAACAAGAACTTGAATAAAGTAAAAACTCTCAAATGTTAGAATACTATTGTTATTTGCTATTGCAATTCTTACTTTTTTTATTATTAATGGGCTTAGGTACTCATAATCTCAATCCATCCTGGGGATATGAAAGAGATCTACAGTAGAGCCAGCATGCCTAGAAGAACTTGCATTTTCGCCTTGAATGGATTTGGATTGTATTATACTCTCAGGAATATAGACACAAGCAAGGAATTCAACTCTATGGCAATAAGTAGAATAAAAGATGATAAGAATTTATGCAGAGTTTGGGATAGTCACCAAACGTAGATGGTATCCCGCCGTGCATCTAGATGGCTGATAGAAAAAAGACAAAAGCATGCAGCTTTAAATTAGTCAACATTTCGTCGCCAATGAGTCTCATGGCTCTACATTCTACTGAGTCTTAATTTACTTCATTCAAATTCTCGTCTATTGGTTAAAAAATATTTGCTTGAGTTATGAAATTTTTTCAAGTAATCACTTCTACTCGACTATAGATACGAATCTTAGAGCGTACCCATTCAAATACTCCAATGCTTAGTAATGAAAAATCCTTCATAACACCTCTTAACATAATTAACGTTCTGTGATTAACATAGCATGAATGTTTCGTATGCTATGCTAATGTGAAACGTCATGTATATTTTTCAGTGTTTGTATTCTAAATCGAATCTTTAAATATAAGTAATATATAATTTTCAAATACGTATTTAAATGCTCATGACATACTTTGCGCCACCTTTGCGTATGTCATTAATATATCAATAAATTTTGACAATGAATATATCACAAACCGAGCTTCTTATTGTACTAGAATTGTTCACTTATAGGCTGTTTTATATACTAATAGTAGGGTCATTAGATAATACTACAAACAAAGTGTAAATAAAAATAGCAAAATTAATTCATAATATGTAGTAGAGTGAATTAATCGAGCATTTATAATGTTATAAATTCAATCAGAATTATTTATCTTCAATACTTTTATTTTTTATGGTGAAAAATGATAAATATCAAGTCTCTTTGCATCCAAGGCCAATACATAACACAAAACAATAATTAAAAAAAAATGTAATGCAGTAATTCGTTGGTTAATTCAGTCTCTTTTCTCTTCAACTTTATGCGCACTCATAAGGTGCTGTGAATGCGTCATTTGAATAGCTTTATGTTATTAGCACAGTTGTTCTCTAACATTGTTCATTGTAACACATTTTATCATATTCAATTCTCAGTTCCACTTGTAAAGATCATTATTAGCAATGGCGACGCGTGGGCTGTTGAAATAGAGGTTTATGATAATTCGATATTCAGTTAGGCTTTTTAAATACAATACACCTAAGATTAAACTATGACGTATTCATCATTTGGTATTAAAGTAATTATTAATCGTATTAATGAAAATTGGGCATATTCATTTTTACTTATGATATCTTTATTGTGAGTATGTGCAATTAGTGAAATAAAAAAAAATGTGGATCTCTCCCCTGCGGACCAGCTTCGAATGGCTAGTCAAAAAGCAGGAGTATATAAACTAAAACTCAGCGATGTCCCTCACATGCAGATACAGCACCGCATGGGTCCCAAACGGACCATATTCCGCGCAATTCACCCATGTTTCTGCCCACAGGTTAGGGAAAGAGGAACATTCGAGTCATCCCCCTAAACAGGACAAGGGGCGTGCAATGCCCGATGAGCGCGATAAGCCACCAGACTGCCCCCCATTAAAGGCCAGAGATGCGCAACTGTGCAACCCTAGCCCTTACCCGTCATAAAGGGATTCACCTGAGCTGAACCCTCGCAAATCCCTCCCCCGATAGCCCCGGTTACCATCGATACGATAGGTGCCTACTGTGATTTATTTTACTACCAAAAACTTTTTGCATTTTTCTATTACATTCTATTGTTTCAATGGTAATATTCGATATATCTAAACATTCTATTGTTTCAATAGTAATATTCGATAGAGTAGGTGAGTTTGTAATCTTTTAAGATTTTTTTTGTTATTATTTGCAAATACACATATTTAATAAATCTATACTTATAATAAATCTGTAGAGAGGTCAATTCTGTTCTTGAAATATATTTCCAAAATAACTATCAGGGGGTGATTAGGGATCGATACTGATGCCTAAAAATGCAATCAGTAAAATTTTTGTCTGTCTGTCTGTATAACCGTTATAGAAACAAAAACTACTCGACGGATTTTAACGAAACTTGGTACAATTATTTTTCATACTCCTGAGCTGGTTATAGTATACTTTTCATCACGCTACAATCAATAGGAGCAGAGCAGTGAAGGGAAATGTTGGGAAAACGGGAGAAGTTACTCCATTTTTTAAGCTTCCGTCGCGTGTGCAACCTTGAATGGTTAAAGCTACCCAGAAATCATGTATGACGGAAATGTTCTCCTTAAAATTATATAAAAAATATCCCACGACAGCATATGTCTATCTTTTATGGTTGACTCACAATAACACGTGTAACTCCCGATAGCTTAGCAGTTCGAAGCTTTCTGATTGTATTTGTCTATTGTCTACTCTTACGTTTATAACACTCTCAGTCATCCCTAATTAAAAAAGTTAACAGTATTAAGTATTCCATAAAAAAGAATCATAGAAATCGGTATAGAAACACCAAAGTTATACATGAAATACGCTAATAATAAGCCATCGCGCGTGAATACTGAATCATGCTAGAAGGATTGTTCTGGCCAGTATTTCATCTATACTAATATTATAAAGCTGAAGAGTTTGTTTGTTTGAACGCGCTAATCTCAGGAACTACTGGTACGAATTGAAAAATTATTTTTGTGTTGAATAGACCATTTATTGAGGAAGGCTTTAGGCTATATAACATCACGCTGCAACTATTGGGAGCGAAGAAAAAATGGAAAACGCGGACGAAGTCGCTGGCGGCCACTAGTATTTAATAAATATTTCTGGTTAACACTAAATACAGTTAACAATACTTTAGACCAATTTCTTTACTTGATTTTTAACCTTAACACATTCAAAGTAGTAATTAGGTAGAAAGTATTTTATTTGACACGCTGCTGTGTGTTTTGAAAACAGCGGACTTTCTTGAGCATCAAAACCAAATTTCCAACTCTTTCATAGACAAGCTATATTATATTACTTTACCAAGATTATTAATAACTCGCTAATTGAATTTCAAATGTTTTTGAAGTGATTCGTAACGATATGCAAATAATTAACATCGACTTTATACTAATTAACCGTGCCCGTTTCTCTTTTAATTTTTCTTGGTTTAATAATAATTTCTCAGATGAGGATATTATTTCATAACCACAAAGAAATCGAATGGTCATAACAACGAAATACAACTAATGCGAAAAACATTTCATTAGATCATTGTCTATTCAGCTGTTCAAATGCTGAAAAATGAATAAAAGTCTTGGTCTAAATTTAGGTGTTTATTTCAATCCTACATAGGGTTTAAACAAGGATGGTCGAGCTTTTATATCGAGGCTTTGTAATCCCCCTTGATTACAAAGCCTTGATCCCATTAGTTTATTAGCTGCATAAATTGTTTTACCAACTCAAATACAAAATCCCAATGTGTTTTATTGAATTCATTGAGATAAAAAAAACAATAGTCCATCATTAGGAGAGACATGCCCCTTTTCTATACCCACCTTTGATTTTTTAAGTAAAAGAATTGCAAATCCAACCTATATTTACCAAGAAGAAATATTGTAATCAATTTTGAAATTCAAGTATATGTATGTGGTTTTGAATGTTGTATGCATAATGAAAATTTAATTCTTATATCTGAACTAATAAGAACAGTAACCTTCAAGTACACTACAACACAACTACAAGTCCCATGATCCTATAAATCGCATGCTTAAAATTATAACAATTATTAATAGTAAGTCTAAGTCTGACTCTAACGTTAAAAATATCTTTGAATCACATTAATTGTGTCGTTATTTGGCTAATCTGCCCTAGACAGTAAGTACAGCAGCTGTGACAGTCGACCTGTTACGTGGCATGTCTCCAATGTTTATTATATACATATTTATTTAAGAACGAATTAGCCATTTACTACTTCGTTCTACTTAAACACTTATTTAACAACAAGATCGGCGCCAAAATACTGACATTAAAATCAAAATCCTCTTTCGAAGCTTTAAAAAATTTGTAGTGTAGAAATCGAAAGATAATTTTAAAATATCATAGTAAATTTTATACAAACCATAATTGGAATATTAATACCAAGAACTGATATTTTTGACCATAGATTTTTTCTAGTATGGCATTGACCAAGTAAACTGTACCTACCTCACATGTATGAATTATTCTAATGAATTTAGCCAAACCGACGTAATTGCTTCCATAAAAATAGGTAAAGGTCTTACTTATATAAATAATTAGCCATAAAATTTAATTATTGTCATTAGAACGCACGACACTAAACTTCTAAGCTAAACTTAGAGTTTGGACAAATGTTTTTAGTACTTCGCCCAAACAAAGTTATAAAGGAAGCATAATGCATTTTGCTAGAGAATTAGTGAAAACTAAAAACCGATATTCCTGTAAAAATAATATTGTATTTATGAAAGAATTGCATTACAATTATATAAAACGATATATTTTTCTAGGATTCTGTACTTTTAGTCACTTTAAATTAAATTTTCACTTCATTGAAGTATTATGAAGCTGCAATAAGAAATATTAATGTTTCTTTTTTATTTTTACGCACACTGCTCATTTATTATTGAATCGACTTTATTTTTTTTCATTGCGGGTTTTTCTGGAATATTCTTTTAATTTCCAGATGGCGTGTAAGATCTTTTATGCTAGAAAATAGGTGTTCTGTTTATATTCTATTTAATAACTTGTGACATTGCCACGAGATTTTGTGAAGCTAACTATTGAAACAATTTTAGAACTCCAAAATTAACATGTATACGATTTTGCAGCTTAATATGTCATTATCGTTACTTGACCCCTTTTTATGTGTAAATAAATTACTGCATTAGATGAAGTTTTAAAAACTATTATTTATTTCAGGAAGCAGAAGAATGGGCGAGACGGCAGAGTGGGCCGATGGTCAATCCATCGTTCGAGCCAGACGACTTCCTGCCCCAAAGGTAATTTAACACCAATAATTGTTTTTTTTTTAATCACTTTAATGTAAGTAGATACACACAAGGGATGTGTAAAAATACGTAGATACAGTCCGAACCGGCCCGGCCATATAGGAAAACTAGGCAAGGGCCTAGGACATCGGCATGGCATAGCAAACAGATTACGTTTGCTCTAATTATGTGAATCTAAAATATTAAGTAACTTAAATAAAAAATTTATTCTTTGTCTATATCCGCGGTGTTCAAAAGTACTAATTGTTCAGACTAGTATTACCTACAAGGAATTTCTTTTGTCATTGGCAAAATTACACTCTGATCAATATACCTACCTACATTAGTCTTTTGTTTTCTGGTTTGTTGTGAACGTACTTACAGTGATTAGCGCATTCATTCAACCAACCAAACAAACTCTTCTTTTTTATAATATTAATAATATATATATTGATATACTTATAATCAAAATAGTGTGAAAACATACTTATAAATTATTATTTTTGATATACATATAATTAAGAACGATTTATAGTTATAGAATGCTTTAAATAAAACTTGCCCTATTTTTTAAATATTAGTTTTTGTAAGTATTTACGTACTTACGTATTCAGAGAGCCAGTTAATTTAGATAAACTAAACTAGGATAGACATTAGTATTTTTTATATAAAATTAGTATTTTTTTTTGGATAAGTATATTTATTGTGCACAGTATTATGCACAGTAGTATATACGATAATGAAGCGGAATAAATAATTAGAAACGATACTCTTAAGCTGTGGGTAAAATGTTTAAAATAAAATACAGAGTAATTGTATTGTTATAATATAAAAAAATGTACATTAAAAAGAAATTAAACATGTTTTAAACGAAAATTTATATTTGGTCGCATTTCCACGACTCTTAATAACTGATTTACACTGACTGTAACAATTTTTGAGATTTTGCATGAGAAATAGAATTTACTACATAGTCGATTTGCTCACATCATCACTTCAGATGTTCTATTGGGTTCAAAACAGGGCTCTTAGCTGGCCAGTCTTAGATGGCAACGATGGATTATTATCATCAGAATAGTCTTCAACATAGAGTAACATTGTTTGTTCCAATATATTTTTGTATTACACTTGATCCATGTTTCTTTATATAAGCCTAATGGGTCTTAATAAATGACCAGAGAAGCAACCCCAAATTTTCGGGTTGCCACCACCATGTTTTAAAGTCACCTTAGTAAACTTAGAGTCAAATGCCTTATTAGAGAGCGAATTGCGCTTCACCTTCCATCAGAGCACACTATTTATTTTCGTTTCGTCTTTTCTTCTACTTAGGTAACGCCTTCGAATAATGCGTGCCGAGATCGTAGAGGGATTTCCTTCGCCAAAATATTCCCTTCATACCTTGTTAGACCCTTTGAAATGATTTCATTCCTCCAGACGAATGATGTTTCTGTCGTTTCGACGAGATGTAGATTCTCGGTCGTGGAATACGCGGAATATTTTAAGCACTGTTATGAGTTTTAAATTATTTTACAGCATTTAAGATCACGGTTTTCGAAAATTGTAAATATCAGCAATTTTTTTATAAGACTATATCTTCTCCCAAAGTATTAATATAATCTCCCTTATAGATTGGTCGCAACTTTTATTTTTCACATAATTATTTTGAAAAATTATGTTCCAATTGTGTTTATACTACTAAATGGCGCCAGGTTTGTGAGAAAATAGTATAACCATAGAGTGTTCTTTGTTTGAATTTTAACAAAAAAAATTGTTTGCGTTCCTAATTATATGACCAGCCGGTAAGAAGAAATTCTTGTTTTAGATTTTACGTTTGCGTAATTAATACTTTTTTATTAAATCTAATATAGGTATAGAAGAAAGTACCAAAAATTTAGAAAGATTTTAGAGTACCACTATAAAAAAAAAATACATGCAACAAGCTTTGTTTTTTTTTAAGTAAATGTACTATTTTCAAGGGAGCGTTCTTAGTGGTGGCCATATACCACCACTGTATAGGTATTACCTACTTTATAAGAAGGAAGGAAAATAGTTCATTTTCAAAAGGCATAATGATCGAAGTTTGTTTATTAGATACGTCCTAATGGAGGTATCTACTAAGTATGCTATTAGTGCACAGTTTTTTCATCATTTAAATCAAATTGAAGTCAATAAACTAGCTTTTACTTTAAACATTATGAATCTTGAGCTATCCGTAATTCTTCTCTTTACTTTGGCTTTCTCAACTTTAGCTTACTATTAAAGTTAAGACTTGATAGCGGTTGAGCAAAATATAAGTAAGTACATAAATCACTTATAGATATATTTGCGTTGCGATGTTCACAGCTGAAACAACTGCTATATTTATTGTTAATGATCTATTGTATAAAAACCAGTCATGTTTTGCTTTGCGCTCGTTGCGAGGTTGGGCACAATATTTCGCGTCAGAGTTTAATTACCTATTGTAAGGCATTGACTGTGAAACTTCACCTGAATATTAAACGGTGATTATTGTCAGTAGATATGGCTATGCTATTTTGTTGAAAAACAACCTAGAACTCGTCGTCGAAATCAGCGCTGTGACAGCATAGAGCTTAAATAAAATAAAACCTCCATTACCTTTTGAAGTATTTTTTTATTTGATTGAGGTCCTTTATTGTTACACTGCAATAATAACTCTGTTAAGTGGAAATAAAAAGTATCATTTTTGGTGGTGCAAAAACCAAAAAGTGGTTAATTCAAATTTAAAAAAAAAACTTAATCCTGATTTAATACATGACTTTAAAACCTACTTATAACTCGTACGAATTAACATGAGTGAGAGCCTATTATATTTGCCTTCGAACGAAAATTCAGAAAATTTCGAATCGTTCTTATAATTTTCTTAAAATCATATCCATAAAATCGCAGACGCAGGGTCAGGTTCTACCTTCGTAGGATCATAAATTATCGAAAAATGCGTGAATTTTTTAGTCGTATTATTATTTCGTGGTTTCGTAGGGGAGACCTAGGAGAGTTGTGACAATTTTTACATAAGGGGCTCTATCTCGCTTAAGAAACATTCCACAGTTATGACTCATATGAATTAGTTTAGAGCCATTCCTTATGTTTTCAAAACCATCAGTAAAATTAATTAAAGTATAATAGTTTCTGAAAAAAATAACAAAATTCAAGTCCACTCCCCTTGTCACAACTCTCCTACCACCGAGGTAAGTTGTGACAGATACCGAGGTAAGTTGTGACATCATTGTATTTAAGCTTTAAGGTATACGACATAAATAAATCAAGCACGTTTTTTTATCAAATCAGTACTTTAATCAGTTCTATAATAATAAATTTGACTTGGAAAACACACATTGAACATGTTTGCAAAAAGTTGTCCAAGTATTCTTGTGCACTGTACAAACTTGTAGAATCGCGGATCAGTGCACAGTCCTTACAGCTTATCACGCGTACGTAGTTTCTATTGTTCGATACGGCATTATATTTTGGGGATATTCGACTTATTCTGTAACTGCCTTTAGAGCCCAGAAAAAATGTGTTAGGAGCATATGTCATTTACAGAGCAGGAATACCTGTAGGCCATATTTTATTAAACTAAATATTATGACCCTGCCATCAATCTATATATTCGAAGTTGGTATTTTTGTCAAACAGAATCAACAACTATTTAAAATAAGACGAGATTGCGTCATCGAGACAAATTATGTACGATACCCTCTAAGACAGCTCTGTTGAACAAAAGTATCTTTTGTATGGCTCCAAAAATTTTTGATATAATTCCAAAAACAATACGTAATCTGGATAATTGTAATGTTTTTAAAAGAAAACTTTGTAAATTATTAGTAGCTAAAGCATATTATAGTGTAAACGAGAATCTAGCTGACAGTACTTTGTAAATGTATAAATACTTAATAAATTAATTGAATTTTTGACATAACATGTTATTGATTAGATTAGTTGACAATTACTAACCTACCAATATTGTATGCTTTTTAGGCAGATCACGGTATAACTATTCAGTCCTAGCATCCAATATCTTTATATAACCTGCGATCAACAATAAAGATTGATTTGATTTGATTTGATTAATCATCTTTTAATACCTACCAACTAAAACAACAAAGTATTAATATTCTCATAACAAGTAATTATAATATTTTCAATTACTAAATATGGTATCGCTTTGAGATCAATCATTTTATTGTGTTCAGTATAAAATCTTAATCTAATCAGATTCACAATTATGCCAAACGTAATGCAGCTCGTCCCCAGTACAATCTACGTGTGCCTAGCCTTTGCATTGCATTGGACCCACTGATCATTCGATCTGCTGTCTGCATAGGCTTCAAGGCAAACCAAAAGCAATTATTTTCTGCATCTTCTTCATCACTTTAGTCTTCTTTGCTTTATTTGGTTTCTTTTTTTTTCTTCGCTTAGGACACGCTTCTTAACATTCTTAGATTTTCAGTCTCTCGTGTATAGTTATTTGGCATTCTCAAAAAAAATAAGTATGCGGTATGCCATTATACATCTTAAGTAGCTACTAACACACCAACAAACATCTAAAGTTAATAAAAAAAATTGTAAAAATAGCCCAGCAGAAATATGGAGTAAGATAGGAGAGTTGTGACAGGCTGTCACAACTCGCCTAGGTGTTCAAAATGACGTCTTGGTCCGAATAATAATTCATAGTTTCAAAACACGATGCGCATACAAAAAATCAGTGCCACGTATTGTGACTTAAATAACTACATAACTTAAGAAAAAATAACACATCAATGCACATATACTAAGATATGATATATATTCAAATAATATTTTGAAGAAAAACTTACTTTTCGTAAGTTTTTGTACACTGACGATATATTTACGCAACTGTGCCACATGCACCGTCGACAGGTGGGTATTTCTATCATTTGGTGCAAATCTGACAGATTTGTGAGAAAATTTTAAATACCTGTTTTTCAATTTTCATAACAATATTTATCAAGAATATAACATATGCATGTGAT